TTATTTAACAATTTACTATTAAAAAAATGTAGTATCAATGTAACCAATATTAACACTCTGTTTTAAAGTATCAACCTACAATCGACATACCGGTACAAAAAATATCTACGTCGATATTAATTCTAAAAAAATAATTACAACATTCTAATAACTCTTCAATCATTCAAGAATAAAATTTCTTTTTCTTATTTCTGCTCGTAGAATACGCTGATGAAACTTATTCAAAAAATCCTGAAATACCTTGTGTACATCGACATATTTCACATTTAGATTTATCATAGATTTTCGTTATTTACGTCCAAAATTGTCACGACATTGAAAGATTTTATGACTACAATAGAAATAAATTTAAACCCCTTAATACGCGCAAAGCATATACATATATATTTCTTGAAATTTCCAATAAATATTGAATTTACTCTCGGAGAAAATTCCGAGAAATCTGAAAGATTCACAGAGCGTATGTCGCTGTATCAACAACATTCTCCACAATAAACAAAATTTCCACGAGGCTGAAGTTGAAAGTTTCTCATTTGTCGTGCATTGCGTGTCGTAAATAAAGTTGACACAGATAAAAAGCGAGAAGCCGGAGGAAGCAACAAACCGGCCGACACGCCGACAGACACGAGAGAAGCGCCGTTAAATTAGGTTCCCGGTCGGTGGTTTCACTACTGTTTACATAAGTTTCGTCGTTTACGTACATGGCGTACAACACAGGCTATCCATGGTGTGCGTGCATCACGTTGCACCTGAACGATTTACCACAACGTCATTGCCAGAGCGGTACCTTCACTTTCCACTTTGCCACTAAACCGATCTTTTTAGCATCTGCACGCGCGTGAGACTCGCTCCAATACGAGCAGCTGGTGCGATTATTATGAGGATACGGTGCCCTCTGGTGATGATTAATTCGTGGTCGCGTGTACGGCCGGGTAATTTTGTGAAATCTATTGTGTTGTGTTGTATACCTAACCCTCACTTAATTACACCGTTTATGAAAACTAAAGGGTATATAAATGTGTAATATTATAATGTATAATAATTATCGCTGCTAATTTCCGTATTACGTGAATATTGACATTCCCGACAAGGCAGTGAAAAAGTTGCGTCAAAGTGACAGAACCGTATAAAATATTATCGCAGTTTTCTGACTGAACAAAAACTGTGTAAAGCAAACTTCAAGTGTAGGAATTTCATTGATAGAAATTTTCTTTCAAAGAGATTATACGACACAGAGAGTTCACATTTTTTTACATTGCATAGTATGTATATCGAAATCTATTGCAATTCTAGAATATAGAATCTATTGCTTAATTATATCGATGAGATCTCTATGAAATATTGATTTCAAATTGAAATTGTCGACATTATAAAGGAAACAAGTATTTCGTGCTTATATGTATGATCTAAGAAGTATGTATCTTCCTGAGATGCTACTTTCTCCTGGCAGTCCATCTGCATGAGATTTCAATATGCTTGAATCTGAATCTTCCCCCGACGAATTAAATGTTCAACCATGCGTAATTTCCTGATTCGTTGGCTCGATCATGGCCACGGGGATACGCTTTTTCTTTCACTTTAAATCTGTTCGATTGTACTTTCCAAATTTGAAATCCCATTTTATAGTTTACATACTCGTATACATATATAAAATCAAAAGAAGAAAAAAAAAACTAAAACTCTCGTAATATAGATCGAATTCTACAATACACTGTAAACTAATTAAAAACAACGCTTGTGGCACTTTTTGGAAATTTTTATTACATAAAAAAATTAATTTTTATAGTACATTGAAAATAAAATGTTCCACCCGGTACATAGTTTTTGCTCTATAGAACCTCACGTTAAAGTTAAGTAGAAACAGAATTGCATCAATCAGGTTACGCCCTTTTCCAATCCGTGTTTGGAATAAGAACTATCCCCATGACTATAGATTTTCCGCTCGATTATCAAACACGATCGTCTAAAGAACATCGCGACGGTTTAATAACGATGCATCGATTGACAAGTTGACTAAAAACCATGATTCAGAAGATTCAGAAGTAGTTTGTGCGCTTTAAATGAGTTTCTTAGCCGTAATTTCAGTGTGACCAACTTTGTGAACGATCGAATGAAATTCCAATTATATCCTTGCAGTTATATTTATTCCAATAGAAAACGTTGAGAATTTAATTTTTTTACTTGACAAACTGGAAAGCGCTCGTTAGAGGAAAATATTAAGCACGAGATACGGTCTGTACATTTTATTGGTTACTAATGCACGAGAGTCAATGTTGGTCCTTGAACTTATCAGTTTGCCCACGTAACGGGCGTACGGCTAATATGCGCCTAATATTCCGAATCTTGTTTTTGGAAAATACTTTGCTCTTATTTTCGTCCCCTTCTAAAAGGTCAAAACTTTTAAAACCTGTATGCGATGTATGTTTGTAAATAAGTAATACGATTTTGTTAGTAATCATATTAATATTGAATATCGTTAATTCTAGACTATTATCAAGATTCGTGCATTACATATTTAAAATTTACTTAAAAATGTTACAAGTGTACTGCTTATTATATAAAAGTTTACTTACCGCGTGGTCGAATCAATATACCGATAAACAAAAGTATAATACAAACGATCGGACCTGAACAGTTATATTAGCCATAATGTCCTCGTACATTGGAATCTTTTCGCTATAGCATGACCCTCACTTTCTCGACTCTTGTCTATGGATACACTTGGAATTTCTCTCCCGCATTTTCTATAAGCATTTATAGCTTTCTGTATACGCTACACACTTCAAATTTGTTCCATTTACCTGCGTGTATATACATATACATGTATATGTATATTACAAATCAAGTTCTCGAGTGACTCGGACGTAATACAAATCGAACGTCACATCATTCAAACGATCGGTTAGCGTCGAAGGATTTATTTAACGATTATAAGTAGTGTCGTTGAATTTTCAAAGAACTTCTTTCAAGTACATTTATTTATTTTACGTACAAATGTCAATGATCTGTAAATTTTTGTACAAATTTAAAAATTTTATCCTATGTGTAATATGATGTGTACCTGTAGTCAAATGGAAAAGAAAGACGCGTAAAAGTGGAACGTGAATAATGAAATGTTCGATGTGGAAAAGCAGGATATTCAACCTTGACCTTTTGTTAAAGATTCTCCAATTTGTTGATTATTCTATGTGGGTTTTTCTATAAACGAATCGTTTTTGCATTTCATTAAATGAAACTTTGATTGTAGTTGTATAATTCTGTCTGATACAAAAAATTATAATTTATGATTAATTACAATATTTGTGTAAAAAGTGTTGTTACTTGAAAATTCCTTTTTTGAAATTATAATAATTATTGCAATTACAAAATGATCTTTCTTTCTAAGACAATAAAAAAAAAAAGAATACAAAGAGAAGAAAGATCCTTGAAATATTGTTCTATTCGTTCAATATAAATCACATAAATTTATTTTTTAGTTTATGCACAGAAAAATGGAAAAAAAGAGGAAGAAAGAAAAGATGAAGAATTTAGATGTCCTGAAGGTCAAGGCAATGGTAATTTTGCAGATCCAGCAACATGCAGAAGATTTTATCAGGTAATTACACTTAAACTTAAAATTAAAGATGAATAATGTATATGTAAAGAAAACTTTCTATAGTAATAAGATAATGAGTATTTAATAACAAGTTTCAATTAAAATTGTTAATGTAACATCAACAGTGTGTCGATGGCTATCCATATCTAAACAGGTGTCCATCTGGATTACATTTTGATGACATTAGTAAATTTTGCACTTTCAAAAATGAAGCTCGATGTGGACCTATTGCTACAAGTATGTATTTCCTTTAAAAATGATTATGCACTACATAATTTTTTATTAATGTTGAATTAATATGAAATTTCCTGCAATGCCAGCTCCACCACCTGTTACTGAACCACCAACTGATTTAGCAGAAAAGTGTGATCTAGCAAACTGTCAATTACCCTACTGCTTTTGTTCAAGGGATGGTACAATAATTCCTGGTGGTCTTCATCCTGATGAAGTATATTTTATTTCTTTATTATCTTTAAAAATTATCTCTGGAAATCCATTTTATATGATTTTCTTTGATTTCAGACCCCACAAATGATAATAATGACATTTGATGGAGCAATAAATCACAATAATTTTGATCATTATCAAAAAATATTTGCCACTGACAGATTAAATCCAAATAACTGCCCCTTGAAAGGTACCTTCTTTATTTCCCATGAATATTGTAATTATAATATGGTTCAAAGCTTAGCACATGATGGACATGAAATCGCCACTGAAACTATATCGTGAGTATTAATCTCGCCGAATCTGAGAATAAACTAATTCTTCTAGGATTTTAAAACATGTAATATTACATTTTTAGTTTGCAAAAGGGGTTGGAAGATAAAGGTTATGAGGAATGGGTTGGAGAAATGATAGGAATGCGAGAGATACTTAAGCATTTTAGTAATATCTCAACAAGTGAAATTGTGGGTATGAGAGCACCATATTTAAAGCCAGGTCGAAATACTCAGTACAAAGTGCTGGAAGATTTTGGCTATATATATGACAGTAGTATCGGAATCTCTCCATTAAAAGTACCAATTTGGCCATATACTCTTGATTACAAAATTCCACATGAATGTAAAGCAGGCACATGTCCTACAAAAACATTCCCAGGTAACATAATTTGATTTATATTATAAAAAACAAACATAACATATAAAAGAGAAAGGAAATGTATTTCATTTGTTTTTAGGTGTATGGGAATTACCATTAAATGCTCATTATGTTGAAAGCTATGAAGGAGGGCATTGTCCATATTTGGACCAATGTGTGCTTCACAATCATGATCCTGAAGAAGTTTTTGACTGGTTGCAAGAAGACTTTAATCGTTACTATGAACAAAATAGAGCACCATACATGATGCCTTTCCATACTAATTGGTTCCAGATAAAGGAACTTGAACGTGGTCTGTCCAAGTTTCTTGACTGGGCAGTAACATTGTAAGTACAAAATAATTTTTATATTATATTACAATTCATATAAATAGTAAGATACAATGCATAAGATCTTGCATCTACATGTTGAATAAAATTATTAATCCATTGTGAAAATTTTTTCGAATTATTGATATAAATTTAAACTTTCATTATGTAAATATACATTACATGTTCACAGACCTGATGTATACTTTGTAACAGCTACTCAAGCACTTACATGGATAACCGATCCAAAACCAATAAAATCTTTGAATAATTTTGAAGGATGGTCATGTAAAAAGAAAGAGAACCTTCCTGGACCACCATGCAATAATGCAAATAAATGTGCCTTAGACTTCAAGCCCACAGAATCTAATTTTACTACAACAAGGTAAATATATAACAATATGTAAACATTTATATTGACGGGTATCAAATAATTTAGTGTTCAAATACCAAATAACAACAAGCATATTTATAGGTATTTAGAAACATGCAGGGAATGTCCAAATAAATATCCCTGGTTAGGAGATTCAAAAGGAACTGGTCTATACAATGATAATTATAACCCTGAAAAAAAATAAAAATCATTATAAACTAGAATCGTAATTAGAAAGAATTCAATCAATTCTTATTTGTTATTGTTTATATAAATAATATTTAAAAATACGAAGTTCGACTATTAATAACAATAAAATGTACTTATGCAATAAAATATACTTATAACAAAGCTATGAATTAAAATATTGTTAAACGAAAGAGTATTCTATTAACTTTTATTAAAGTTTTATGCAATGCCATAACTTATTATCTTCATATATTTACTCAATTATTACACATATTGTTTTATACATCTATATTTTTCATTTTCTACTCCATTTGATTTCAATCTTTTTTGATCATATATTGTTGAATAACAATCACTTTCATATGATGCATAACAACCCAATAATTTCCTATTTAAAAAAATGGATGTCATTTTGGTTACTAAACACTTATTGATTTAAAGAAAATCTTGTTTTTCTGTTTCATGTTTCCTGAATGCTTATCATTCATAATGTACATAATGGCTACTAATAATAGAAATACTTTGTATGTTTACACATCCACATACAATTAGAATATTAACCCCTTAATGCGCATGTTCAAATTAATTCGAGCAGACAATAATGGCAGAAATATGCACACTCGAGTTAACTCGAGCATACTCTGCGAGCGAGCATATTGAAAGAGTTGATACAAAATTATAATAATGATAAACTCGTAAAAAAAAATCAGATCGGCCAGAAAATACTGGAGTATTATAGTTAACAGAAAGACATTATCCCAACTTTGTTCCGCCAACTATAAAAAACCAAGCGCCAAGAAGATCCTGCGCGGTATACTACGCACAACAAAACAGTAAAGGAAAAAGAAGAACAAAAGAATCTCCTTGCTGTTGTAATTCTTGTAATGTTGGATTATGTGCTGCACCTTGCTTTGAAATTTATCACACAAAAAAAAATTATTAACTTTTTGTTGTTTAGACTATTGTAGATATTGTGTCTACATTTTACAAACATACAGTAAATTGAAATAATACAATTAATGTTTTTGATTAAATATTTTATTTTTTGTCCCAATAAATGTAAACATACAAAAATATGTTCAAATAAAGATTTTCACAGATAAAAAAACTGATTTTTTTTACGATTTAAAAAAAAAAGTATGTGTTAGGAGTTAAATATTTAAGAAAAAGTGAGTAAATTTACATACATCTTGTAACATACTGTAGTCTATGTACTTTATTTATATATTCACTACTAAATGAAGTACTACATTACTTTGTAAAAAAAATTTCAATTCTTTAACGTACTGGTACCCATGGTTCAAACATGTCTGCAAATTTTCTATTTTCTAAAACATTAAAAACAAATCTTTATCAATGATAATTTTCAGTTTAAAAATAATGAATTCATAAAACTGTTTAGTAACTTACGTGGTGCAGGAAATCGCTCTGGGTGAAGCCTTATATAATCTCTCAGTACTGCATCTTTTCTAGATTTCTTAATTTCGTTTATAAACAGAAAACCACATCCCAAAAGAGTACAAATTGCGCCAGAAAAAACAGTTATATGTGCACCTAATAAATGAATATTTATAATTGAATATTTATCCTGTTTATATTGGGATTAAACTGAATTAAGTATATTACACAACAAAATGTGACATTTTACATTATAATGTGGTAAAGAACAGAATAATAAATAAAATTAGAAATAATAAAATAAAAATGTAATTTCAAAATTGTCTGATCAATTATGTAGATTACAGAGAGCATTGTAGATAGTAACTTTGTTTATAAATGGGAGATTAAGAATTTGAACATGATTAATTTGAAAACAACAATCTTGCTACAACGAAAACGTCCATAATACAGATGCCCTTTTTGGCTGAGAATAATTTGCAAAGTATACTGAAGAAGTTTGTTTATCTCTTTCCAGAATACTTTGTGAAATAGATTTTGCTATTAGGTTAAGTTTGACGTATAAAAAAAAATAATTGTATTTCTTTCCACTTGCCAGTATGAAGCGGTAGTTTTAATAGCATATTTCTTACGATAGATCCTCCAGCACCTGTTAAAAAACCAGTAGCTAAGGGCCAATAATCGTAAAAACTTCTCTTATAATCGTCAGGTGTAGGTTCCAAAAGATCCAGTGCCCATTGAGCAGAAGATGTTTCCCCATTTACTGTCATTTGTTTGTTTTTCGATGATTAGTGAATTTTACAAATGTATTGCTATATTCAAACAAAAAAATTAATTGTGTATGCTTCAAAATCTTGATAATATATTCTCAAAACAATACGTAACTGCACTACGTAATCGCATCTGCTTGAGCATGCGCACAATGGTTAGAAATATGTATTTATTACGAGACTGCTTAACTTGAAAGGAAAAATCACGATTTCCGAATTCGTTTAAGAAATTTTTAATGAATAAAACGAAGTTCAAAATTTCTAAGTGGATAAGCATAAATCAATCGTGGGACATTAATCACAACTATATCGATTTGTTTATAAGAAGACAACATGAAACATAAAAAGTTTTAAGTTATTAAATTTACTTTATTTTTCTTGCAAATTATAATTAACTGAAATGGAAAAGAATGTTGTGTATTGTAAACACATTTTTCGTTAATAAATTGATTACGAAGATTTTACAAAGTATATTTTCACATATAATTTTTAGTTTACTGCATCATATGGTTTTATATTCTACAGATTGAAAATTTAAAAATTTTATTTAGAGTTCAGGCTATTTTTAACTGAATGAGCTAATGATATTCTTACAATAAATTTATACAAATTATATCATTAGAGTGAATTAATATAAAAATCAATAACACTTTGAGTCATTGATGAGAATTGAATTTATAATCACTCAATCTGTGTATGTAACATTTATTAACACTTACATGCATTATTGTTTTGCATACTTTATAATTATATTGTACATATGCAGAATACTTTTATTATTCAAGATTAAGAATATATTTTATGCTACTTATTGAACATTTGAAAATAATAGTATTTTTCATTTTCCTTTTAGTGGTTCATAAAATACATTAAACATTCATATTTTATGAAACAACTAAATTAATCATGATGATTCCCAATAATCATTAATTTACTAAATATGCAAAAAATATACTTATCAAAATTTGTAGATATATGTATTATGAATTATAATGTACAAAAAAATTATACATACTTATAAATAATGGTTTTAATAAGTTATAAATTTTGCAACTTAACAAAACAATCTTTTAGCCACAATTTGCAAACTTGTAAACAGTTTGGCATATTTATGGAAGAAATTTGTGGTTGTGAATGATTGGGAATCATTAGTCTACAGAAATCACAGTTACAGTTCTGAGATCATGTTCAAGAACAATAATAATTAGATAGTTTGTAGAAAAATATGGGACAGCGATAAAATCTATTTTCAAAGGAAATGCTGATTTGCATTTTAAAAAGGTCTTTCCATTCTTCCATTTCATTTTATGTTTTTCCAATTAATCTTAATGTTTAAAAACAAAATACAATTGTATAGCCTAAAAAAGACAAAGATATTAAAGAAATTTATAATTTCTAAATTACTTTCCATAGTAATAATGACACTTTTTACATGTTGAAAATATTACAATTCTTCATTTTACTATGTCACTTTCACTTTTTAGATTCATTTTTTATCACAGAGATGAAACTTAGCTGAACAGTATTAATATATGTATATATATGTATATACACAAGTAAGTTCAAAATGAATCTAAACATTAGAATTAAAACGCTTATAAGAGATATTGTTATCTTCAAATTTAAAGCCTCTTAAAAAATGAAAGGAAACATTTTCCTTTCTTGTATCATATGTAAAATAGCTATTTGTATATTATATGCTAGTGCATTCTCTTCTGTCTTATTCCTATAGATAAAAATTCTCATACATATTATATCTTATAATATTTATTAAAAACTGAAATATAATATGGAAGCATATCAACTATTAGTTGAAACAAATTATTACAAGAAAAAGTGAAATACTAAAAGAAGTGGCTGCATAAAGTAATATTATTAAGAACACACATCTTTGAAAATAGCTTAATGCAATATCTGATTATCTGTGAAGTATTTAAATTAAATAACTGGCATTAAAAATCATGCAATAAATATTAACAGTCTTCAGTGTAACCCTATCAGTTAGTAAATAACGTGATATATTTTAAACAAACTCATTGACTTATAATGTACAATTGCAAATAGTAATCATAATTACTTCAATTTTGCTTAAATAACACATCAAAAAAACTTGTTTCAATTACTTTTACTGTGCTAATCCAGATTTGCGGAATTTATTACAATTAATTTTGATGCATAATTAATGAAACACTCTCCACATTTACTAGACAGAAGAACGAATGTATAACAGCCTATTAAAATTAACTATATAATAAATGAGTTGATTAAAAAACAATACATACATATAAACATATATATTTTTATGAATTTACTAATATTTACGCAGGGGTATGAAAATTTGTTAATTATATAAATTAAATAGTAGGGATTTGCTTCAATTTTGTAGCAAGTTATTGTATCTTGTTTAAATTAACGCATAGGAGACCATACTTTTGCGGCAGACCTTTATAATAAAAAATCACAATTAGTATAATAGTATAGAAAGAATAGTGAAAAAGCTTAATAATAATCTATCTATTGGAATATGTGCCTTATGTAAATAGTTAAAAATGGATAATTAATTTACATTTTGCAAGATTTTTAATCATTTATCAATTTAATCAATTTTGTTGTGATACACACCTTAAGCATGAAAGTGGCATTGTATCTACCTGATGCCACAACATGATTGCTAAAAAGATGCTCCAAGTGCGTAAAGGGCATATTATAGTAGCTAATGTTCCATATGCCAACCAAAAGAAATAAGCCATGCACGTTTGCATTATAATTAACAATGTTATTGGCAAGTATTGTAAGAAAAAGCAAATCTTAGATAATGGCTTATCATCTGGCTCAATATTTTGTAATCTGTGAAATCATTTAGTTTTGTTAATCATTATGAATCTAATTTTGCTTCTTTACTCATAAACGTGAATATATAGTAAAATTACTCCACCGTTTATCCACTCTGTTAGCTAAGATTAGCATTAGTGGTAGATGGAAGGAAAACAATTGGAAAAACCCATAAGCATAGGTAAAGGCACCAGGTAAGAAAGAATTCCCAATAAATGTTCCCCAAGCAAAAATTACGCCTGTTTGATTTTCAATTACTTCACCAACAGCCCATGGACCTTAACAATGAATATTTCTTCTTTTACAAAATGAGCTTAATTTTTATTTTAAAATAAGGACAAGTAAGATTTCAAATACTTAAGATTACTTACCAACTGTTAAGTATAACGCATACAGTACTAATGGATAAAACAGACGGTCGACCGTAGATAATACCCACAATTTTCTAAGCCACAAATGAAAAAACTTTATCCTGAGTCTTGGTCGATGCAATTGTTTCCCTAATCATGGGAAAATTTTAATTTACATTTGATGAAAAAATGTGCCTCTTCAAATTTTATATTAAAAATTCTATTTTTATAAAATTTGTACAATATTGCATAACACATAATTTACTTACTCACGTACAATATATGGAGAAAACGAAGTAACCATAATGGGATTACAAGTGAAATCAATATCATTTCAAATAGGAATTGAAACTGAATGGAAAGAAATTCCATTAATATAGAAGTTTCTGTTCTAATATAATTATGGTATGATATATTTACGTTACTTACGATATTACTGGCATTAGACATAAGTATAAGTCTAGGTAATACACGAAATGATAAACGTGATCCGTCAAGGGCAAATGGCTGATATACTATTGTTTCTCTACCATCTGCATCTGTGACTCTTATCTGTAATTAAAGTCCATTTCATTAATTTCCAGTATGTAAACTGTTATATAATATCATCAAAACATTAGAAGAAGAATAAATAGGAAAGAGAATATATTTTACTGAACTCGAATATAGTGTATTCCCTCTCTGTAATTAGTTGTGTTCCATCTTAAAATATACAGTGGTCCTTTAACATGTTCACATACAAACCAAGCTTCATCATCCAATTGAACTTTAACAGATTCTATTAATGATATGGAGAATGCCAATATCCTACAAAAAGAAAGTAACAGACAATGATAAAAATCAAAAATAGTGTAATATTTTTCATAATTAAAACGATTATTAGTTAAACTCAATGGAAAATATTCTTTATTTTAAAAAGTTTACCTAATATGTGTAGATTTAATAACAGATATTATATTTTCTTTTCTAGGCATTGTGTACAAAGCATGTTTAGGGTTTGTGATCAATACTACAGGCCATTCTTTGTGCTGTAGATCAATGAAAGAAAATTGACCATGATCTATTGCTCCTAAACGATACCTGAGAATAAGTGTACAGTAATTATTTAATCCCTTTCATTTTTAACACACATCTTATAACATGACACGAAAAGTAGTATGTATAATTTACTTATAAAATTCAATAAAATTTTAATATGAATTCTACAAATATTTATAATAAATTGATGGTATAAATACTTTACATTCTGTTGTCTTTCCAATCTGCTAACTCTAATTCAAGAAATCCTGCTTGTTGTAATGTATACATGTTAGGCACTGTTCCACCAAGCATGTGATAGTGTCCGCAAAGATATACCATACTCTCTTTATGTCTGCCTAAAAAAGTATTTTAAGATAGTTTCTTGCTATCAATAGCACTTTGTACTAAAATATTTCTGTAAATGATATTTTTAAAATAATATGTAAATAAACATACACATTTTACTAATTATTACCTATAATATTTCTTATGCCTGTATTAGTTTGCGAAAGTATACAAGATGTAGGGTAATGACCAAACCATATTATAAAATCTGCATTATTTTCCTGGGACTTATTTACTAAAGTATATATAGTATTAATTTCGTGCTCATCTAACATGCCAACAAAATTGAACGGTCTCCTTGGACCAGGTTTTAAGCATGCATCTATTGCAATGAATGTATACAATTCAGAGCCAATATTTATAGTGTACATGTAGGACCTTGGATGTTTTTTTCCTTGAATGGAATAGTTCGAGTAATAATTATTTTTTGACTCAAGAGTTAGTACATTGAAATTATCTAAAACAAATTTAAATAACATTATATATGTAAATGTTTATAGCTGTAAATAATACTAGTTCTTTTATTATTTAATATGATTTTTACCATGATTGCCTCTTACATCTAACCATAATGTTTTTTTGCTAACTTCAGTATCATCTAAAACTTGTTTATAATATTGCCATTCTTCTAATATTTGTTTTGATCCCATTTTGTCTTTGGCTTTTGCATCTGTGAGATCACCTATTCAAATGACATATTATTTTATTATAAACAAAAAGTTTAAATAAATAGTAGTAATTGTAAATTAAATTTACCTGAAGCAAGCACAACAGAAGGTTTAATGGCATTCACAGTAATATTACAAAATTCCTTTAATTCTGTTATCCTAGATGAATCTTGAAATATACTTATGTGTATATCTGATACCTAAGGATAATTCAGATTCAATAAACAATATCAATTTATAGATAGTTAAAGAAGCATTTTTATCAAACACAAACCTGCAGAAACCAAATTAAATGATTGAATGATGTTCCGATATCGTAAAATTTTGGCTGTGACCATTCTTTCCTCACTTCTTTGTTAAGCAAAGAATCATCTAGTACATGACTATCAACATTGATTAAGTCAGCGACATTTGCCATAAATATCGATAACATCAGTACAAAGATTAGGAGTATAACGGTGGATTTCGTTATTTTCATTTCCAAAAAAACTTCCAAAATGTTTTGCACCGAAATTTTATTATCAAACCGACCTTCTGTGTGCTTTCAATGTTTACAAATTTACGTCATCGATTACGCTTTATTATAGACGTGACACTTCAAACGGTACAATTTATTAAAACAAGAAGATAATTTGGAATTTCGGTGTTTCATAGTTTCACAATTTTCCAACTACCGACTAACAATTATATTTCAAGATGCGAACGTTGTCAAATGTCTGATTATCGCAGAACGCCGAAGAAAAGAGTTAACATGTTTTGCGCATGGCGGATCTATGCAGTGGTGTTCATTCAACATTTACATTGACCAATACACTTTACAAAATTGACAAAATATTTATGAAATGTGTGATATTTCAAACGAACTGTAATATTAATTTTATTATATCTTACATATTTCACATAGTTGAGCAAAAATGTATAATACATACTTCAATATTACTCAAACATTCACACGTGTTACTCAATCGAACGTTAAACAAATGCGCCCTTATTTTATGTCTAATTTTCACATAGTTAACTTGGAAGTCTTCCGAAAACTCAATAATATCCACCTTTACAAAAATGAAACAAGAATCTCAAGATGAAAACCACTGAACTACCACCACTGGTAATTTTCTTATCCGCATCGAGAACATCCGTGAGTGCTTGTGGTGTGCTAATGTATCCCTTTTAGGAAAAATAAGGGTAGTGTTCAATAGTGACATATGTGGCTGATTTTTAACTGAAATAACGTAACGCTGCTTCGTGATGTTCTAATATTTTTTTCTCTCTTGATACTGCAACTACTTGCAACCGTACGTTTCGTTTATTTTACGTCTAATATTTTTATTATACTTTGTATTAAACGATCGACTCGAGCAAATAGCTACGTTTTAAAGAGAAAAGTATTATACATCAGTTAACCTATTTTACGTAAACGATAGTTTCATTAATGCACTGAACATTCATAGCAACTCTTTGCCCGCGTTGAATTTTCTTTTAATTTACATAAATTGATGAATATATACGTACATGTCTATATATGGACACGCTGATCTTTGAAAAATAGAGCTTTTATATGTAAATGACATAAGTTTTTAATACCTTCAAAGGGTTTAAATCGATTTTAAATTAATACATTAGAGTCAGTCATTTTGAGTAGTATTACGTGTAGTAGATTAATACTGTGGATTAATTTCTTTTCGTCAAAAATTTGTGCATATTTACAAAATTGTTTATGTACTGTATTCAAAAAGGGAATAATATAATAAATATAAATTTTATACATATGATAAATTGTATGTCGCTTATAATATTTATTTGAGGGATAAGGAATTCGGAAGTGAAGTGCCTTTCAAAGTAGAACGATAAAACGTGACACGAATATGTATCTTGCTATTTAAAATGTTCAACTAATTACGATTGATTTATTCAATTTATAATATCTGCCGTTCATTCAATTTCTGTTTCATCTTTCTTTGACCTTAAAACGACTGTTACTTTTTGTGCGAATTTTGTGTAAATGCAAACATAAACAAATAAACTTTTTAACCCATATTTCAAATAAATTAGTTTAGGTATTTTTAAATTTAGTATTAAAAAGAAGTTGTTTTGCATATATAAAATTGTATTAATATTGCGCATATAAATTCTGTGTATAACTATTAAATGAAACACTTGTTTTTAGTATGAATTTTGATTTTTTCTCTTTAATTCTAACATTTCAGATGGCATCTAGTGCACTTGAAGAAAAAATCAATAAAATTCGTCAACAAAATGAAGAAATTAGGAGAAGATACGAGGTATATGTTGCAATGTGATAAAATGGAAAAAATTATAAAACTTTAAAATATTGTAATTGAAATGTAATTTTATGGAATTACAATTTAAGTGTTTGCATTTAATATGTAAAATAAAGTGTAGAATAAAATTGAAATTTCACGATTTACTTTTACTATATTAGGAAGTTGAAGAAGATAAAAAGAATGCAGCAAAACTAAATGCATTGGTGCAAATGGTGCCGTCAAAAGATTGGCCAGAAAGGAAAGAACCACCAGAGTTTTCAAATCCTCCTAAAGCCAAACCAAAATCAACCAAAGAAAAACATGAATACATACCCCAACCTCATTCTGGTGAAGGAAAAAAAATCCATACTTTTGCTCAAGTATGTAATGGAATTTTACATTAATTTTATTTCTTATTATATCTACACATGTGTATGTATGTGCTTGTTAAGCAACACTTTAAAAAATAATATAAATATTGAAAAAAAAATATCATTCAGGGAGAAGGACCACCACCGGATCCTAAATACAACTTTTTAGCAGATTCTGAACGAGAAGAACCTAGTGTGGAATATATGAAAGATAGCATTGGGAATAAATCTCATCACAAACTGTCAAGAGGCAATTGCAGAAGGAAACCTGGTGGAAGAGAGAGTAGTCAGAAAGTATGTAATGTTATATTTATTGATTAAGTTACTTTAATTATAATATACAGCACTTTGTTTTTACATATAGGATAATAAACCAAATAAAGGAAATTACAGAGATGAATCTCAACCAGGATATGATGCCTGGAGAGCAGAAAGGAACCGTATTGATGAGGATCGTATTAGTAGACAGAGAACTGCAGAGGGCAATTGGCGTAGAGAATGGGATAATGATAAAGTATGAATAAATTTTCATAATATTTTAAATCATTATTGCTTGTAATTTGATAATAATATAATGTTTTACATTATAGGTACATATTATAGATGATGTAGTAAAGCAAGTATCGAGGCCTACATTAGGAGATTTTGCAAAAAAAGATCACAAGGATTCTGACAGGAGATATCATGCTAATAGTATGTTGAACTATTATTAAACTTCTGTTTGTTTTATGAACATATCATTAAAACTAATTTTTTTTTAAAGATAATGAACATGTCAATTATACTCGCGGTGGTTACCGTTCTCATCGTGGCTCATCGAAGAATTTTTATGGTAACTATGACAATCGGTCTCATAATATATACGAGCAACATAGAAATAACACAACAATGAAAACTCCAGTCTCGCCAACATCTGAAGAAAGAACTGTTGTTGCAACAGAGAAGAGTATTAAAGTTACAGTGAATCAAAATAACGTAACAAAAGGACCCGTGATGAGTGTCAAAGGTATCATATATACGTTTCATTGCACATGATATTTGTTAAATATGAAAATTGTGCTTCATTGAAGTTTAAATTTTAGTGAATTCACCGAGCATAGCTGGAACAGGAAGGGTTGGACCTCGACAAAGAACTCGTGTCACATACAGCCATTCAGATGTTGATGCCCCGCCGTCTGAAGGCGAACGTTTCTTTCGTCAAAAATCATTCGAAGATAAATCAAAGGGAATTTTTTCCAACAATCAGAAGTTTTCTAATCTAAAAAGATCTCATTCACAGAGAAAGAAAGAGAACGAGACGAAATACTCGCTCCATCAGAGGAAAGATAATGATGGAACTGCATACAAACATTGCGAAACTGAATTTAGATCTTATGTGCAGAAGGATCCGCAAAAATCTAATTCCATCAAATCGCCAAGGCCTACGAGAGGAAATACAAACATAACGAAGCACGATTCTTCGAACATGAATGTTTCACAAAAACGTGAAACTCAGGAATATTCAATAGCTTCTGATGAAATAAAACTTGAGAATAATGTTACAACGGAGAATAATGAAACATTGCAGGAAACCAAATGTGAGGAAACAGATGCATCCAGTGTAGAAAACGGGCAGATGAACATCACAAATGAAAATCAGATTGTAATAGAAAAGTCTTCAACGAAAACAACAGAAGAAACTATGATTTCTGTGTCAGGTACAGATAATTCTGAATACATTGCAAAAGATGATACGAATGAAAATTATTTTGAGAAGAAGAATGAGTGTTCATTTGTGAATAATGCGTCAGAGAATTTGCAAGAAAATAGTAATATGTCTTCCGAGACATTGGCTCCAGATAATGTTCAGTCTAATGAGGAACTTGTGCCAAATGAAAGTAAGGAGGTTTCGAAAAATGTTGTTAAGGAAGAAGATCATGAAGATAATCAGCAATCATTGGAACAAGTTACAAAGCAAATTGTAAACAATGACTGTGATAATATCGAAGACAAAGTTACAGTACAACAAAATACAGAGGAAGTGACGGATAATTTTGTGTCTTCGTTAGAGGACAAAACACATTCTGTGATAGAAAATAATAATCCGTCTGTATGCAATAATGAGGTTGTGAAGGAAGAAGTGCTAAATGATGAAAAAGAGCCAGATGATTGTAAAGAATTGTCTGATGTAAATTCAAAGAATATTGTAAACACAGAAAGTACTCTTAGTCATGTGAATGAAAATACAGTAGAGAAAATTGAGGAGATAAGGGATGAAAAAGAAGATAAAGAAGAGAAGAACGAGGAGAATGATAAAAACATTGCAATAAAAAATAGTACCGATTCTCAGTAGTATATGTAACAGCTATTACATTGGTACTTTTTGATATTAGAACCATTTCTAATGCTCATTACATCTAAAACTATTATTTGAACGTATACGAAGGAATTTTATGAAAATGCTGAATACCGCAAATTTCTTTTAATTAGTAGAAATTAGATTGTTAATTTTTTTTTTCAGTTCATTATTGATTTTAAAATACTTTACGATAAATAGAACTAAGTACAGTTAAATTGATCGATTCGTCAGCATTCACAGAAAAATTTTAAGGATACTTTAAAGAGTTTGTAAGTCTTTTCAGATGAGAATGTGAGATGTTTCTAAAGTAACAACGTCATTTTCAAATCATTATTATAACTAAGTGATATTAATTGCGCACAATCGTTAATGTTACTGAATTAATCCTTTGCGGTTTTATTTTGTTCACTTTTTTGCATTAGTATTAATTTTCAAATAAGAAATTTTTCCTTTTGCGTACATTGGGAATAATGTATTGTTGGGAATTCTACTACAGAAGAATCGGTTTTTCCTTTTTCTTTTGCTATATTTTCATTTTTGAAAATTAAAGAAATATGAAAGGCCGCAAAGGATTAGCGCACTAAAAATTATTCACTACAGTGCTTTTACATACGTAGTAAATTGTCAAAGCCACGACTCGTATTTCTGATATTTTATATAAAATTCTACGACAATAGAATACTGACATTTGTTCAGATATCGCGCTCGAATGATATTTTTATAATTGGCTATAGTTATTAGTTGTATATTGGAGATTGATATATATGTATAAAAGAAGGAAAATGTCGATACTTCAATATTTCAGGGACTGTTGAGTTAGAGAAGAAAATGAAATGGCAGTTGCTTGTAATATTCTAAATATTATAACAGCATGAAGCGATACATTATATTTATTTGATTCTTAATCAAGAAGCAATGTTACGTTACTTTATAGTTTATATAATTTATTTTCATCTTTTTACTAAAAGATTATTTATTTCACGTTTCTTTTTATTATTATTATATGATATTTTGTTACAAGCTTGCTTTATGTTTTATTTTTCATTTACGACATGAGGTAATAAATTGGCTGGAATATACACTGGTAAATGTTAAATAAATGAAAGGGAAAAGGAACAAAACATTTATTTCCATGAAATATAATATTTGTTTGTTCATGATTTCGTTGTTGATCGAACAGAAAGAATGCATGCTAATTCATATACATATTTATGTGTCATTAACATGTTTCATATGAAAGTATAACATACAGAAATTCTAATCTTCAGACAATTTAAATATTGTTCCCAATGGCTCCAGTG